CTGTCCTTCGGGACATCCGTTAAAATTGGAAGGATACAGAGAAGATTAGCATGGCCCCTGCGCAAGGATGACACGCATCAATCGAGAAATGGTCCATTTTTTTTTTTTTTTTTAATCGGCCTTTTACTGGGCTCCACCTTGGTATTCCGCTGGGTTCTTACTGGGCCTCAGCGTGATCGTCCACTGGGCGCACGCGGTAATCTGGGGCCGGTGGGACACAACGGGCCCAGGCCGTGTCCAAAGGCACCTCTCTCAGGAATGGGGCCTCTCTTTTCAGTGGGCGGCCCGGGATTGATGCAACGGACGGTAATTATAGCTGTATCTAGACTGAAAGATGTCTAAAAAATTCAGGTATAATGACCGTACGTTGTAGTCGGGGGAAGAAGGCAGGGTTCGGAAAGCACCCGCACACGTGCACACGACCCAGCGGACAATCTGGTCTTCCTCCCATCGTCTCCTGCAGGACCTGGCGTGATGTTTCTCTTGGTTGCCACCCTCATGAACGATGGCAATTGGTGATGGGATGCAGCTGAACCTTGCCACGTGTCGCGTCAGTCTTGCTCCGTCGACAAGCCGGTGAGTTTTTTCTCTTCCACCACTGTTCTCCCGCCGTTCCCCCTTCTTCTCTATTTGGGCATAGGTGCACCAGTCGCCATTTACCAAGATTGTGAATGCATCTTGACTAGATGATGCCTAGATGCATTCAAAATGTTGGCGGATGGCGAGTGGTGCAACAAGAATCAGCAGCTCACGCTGCAAGGAGGGAGAGAGTTCAAAAAGGCCAACAACCGCACAATCCGAATCGTATGAGAATCTGTGAGAGCATCCTCACAACAGATTTTCCTGGATGTATTTGACGGCAAGTATGGCCGGCCCTGCATGTATCTGACCGCAATTACGTCCAGAGGTCAGTCGAAATAAGTCCTAGCGTGAGTGTGCTCTGACGACGAATGATGCGGTTTCCTGAACTCCATCATCGTCAGGTGCCTCTCCTCCTCTTCCTCCTCCTCCTCCTCCTCCTGCTCCTCCTCCTTCGCCTCCTCCTCCTCCTTCGCCTCCTCCTCCTCCTCCTATACCTCCTTTCGTGTGTCACGATAGAGATTTGCCGCGGATTCAACACCTTCTGCGCAGCCCATGTTTCCATCTCCTCGCGTCGTCATTCGATGTATATTCCCTCCACCTCCTTGCCCTCCCCCTTCTGGTGCCTCCTCCTCCTCATTCTTCTCCTCCTCCCGGCTGCGCCACCTCCTCCTCTCCCTTCACTTCCGCCGCCTTCCCTCTCTCACTCTCCTTGCTTGAAAATGTCGACGTGGCATTTGGCATTCAAGATTTGACCACTGTTTTGCCCTTTACTTTTTGTCTTCATGTTTTTCTTCTTCTCCTCCTACTCCTCTGCCAGGTATGCACTCTACCATTGATGATTGCTTGAGAAAAGTTTGTCTCGTACTAGATAGATACTTATTATTCCCCCCCCCCTCGTCCNGCCAGGTATGCACTCTACCATTGATGATTGCTTGAGAAAAGTTTGTCTCGTACTAGATAGATACTTATTATTCCCCCCCCCTCCTCCCTCCTCCTCCCTCCTCCTCCCTCCTCCTCCCTTCTTCTCCCTTCTCCTCTTCCTTTTCCTCCTCTTCCTCTTTCCGCCCCCCTCTTGTTCATCCTCCGTGTGCCCCTCTTATCGGTCATTTGCCTGCTCTTTCCCTTCTTCCCGACATTTCCGCACCACCCTGTTCTCCCCATCTGTCCTGTTTCTCTCTCTCCCTCTCTCTCTCTCTCTCTCTCTCTCTCTTTTCCACCTCCTCGCCTCCCTTTCTCATATTTGGCTCCTCCTCCTCCTCCTCCTCCTCCTCCACATCCCCTCGCTTTCATTCTCCCTCTCTTTTCTCTCAGTATGCAGACATGGCAGCGGGAATCAAACCTTGTTGCCGGCTTTCTCACCTTAAGGCTTTCCTCCTCTTCCTCCTCCTCCTCCCCCTCCTCTTTCTCCTCTTCCTCCTCCTCCTCCTCCTCCTCCTCCTTCTCCCCCTCCTCTTTCTCCTCGTCCTCCTCCTCGTCCTCCTCCTCCTCCTCCTTCTCCCCCTCCTCTTTCTCCTCGTCCTCCTCCTCCTCCCTCTCCTCTTTCTCCTCTTCCTCCCCCTCCTTCTCTTCCTGCCGCTTCCCCCTATCTCTCCGCGAATCCGTTCCGTCCAGATCCCGTCTGCAAGAGATGCTCATGCAGACCGCCAACTCAAATGAATCAGACCCGCTTCAAGTTGGGATCGCGAACCCAATCCAATCCGATCAATGATTGGGGAATCCAGTCCGATCCGATCCGATCAATGATTGGTGAATCTCCAATCCGATCCACGATTCGTGAGAACCCAAATTTTCCGCGAATCGTATATGTGATGATGATCTCTCTGTGCGAGCGAGCGAGAGCCATAACTCGCCATAGATATCTGGAGTGGTTGTCGCTCTGCCTGCCATGCGATCAGGAGGAACCACTCTCTTGAAACATCATGATTGGGGTAATATTTTCTCGAGATACTTGCAGCATCTCTGATCTTAAGCCAGCGTGCATTCGCGTGCTTCCCCAAGTGAATAACAAGCCCTAAGGGCTTTAGGGTATGATGCTTCCCTGCCCGAAAACCACCTCTCTCTTGGAGCCTCCTTATCTCGTATAAGAGCCAGGGGGCTTGCATCAAACTCATTCATATCCGTCGCGAGAGCGGCGGCGGCGGCGGCCTGCTCTACCAGGCTCTTTCTTCTTCTTCTTCTTCTTCTTCTTCTTCTTCTTCTTCTTTTTATATATATTATCGTCACAAATTTATCAGAGCGCAAATGCGAAAAAAAGAAGAAATAAATGAAGAAATAAATTCATTTTTTTATCTTCTTCCTTACAAGACTCCCCCTGTTCAAAACCTCTTGCGTACAAGGCCGCCCACGTGGATGTAGGTTGAGCGGCGGCTGCCCCCCCCCGCCGTGTGTCATATCGACCCACTTGCACACAGCCAAAGGCGAAGAGGCAAAGAAAAGAGGAAGGGAACAGCCAAACATTACAGAACAGGGGGCACACGAATCCTAGATGACAAGTCTCACATCCCGACACCGCCCCCGACCGCTCAGGCCAAACGACGGGACAAACCCGCCAGGATTCAAGACACGGGAACTGTGAGATGGTTAAACGATGAGCCAGGCCATTTTCAACATAAATGAATACCAGAGAACAAATTCTACCATATCCATAGCAAAGAATCTGAAGCAAAGAACACCTTATCTGCAAAAAAAAGCAAGACAATCCCAGATGACGATTCCCTATATATAAAAAGAATAAAGCTTCTCTTAGAGGTCTGGCCCCGCATACAGTTGATTTCACTACTATGTATACTAATCTTTCTCATCAACGAATTCTTGACAATGTTGCTAATGCCGTTGATGAGGCGCATGCCTACGCTCTTGCACAGGTACGGCAGCATACACAGACACGCTCATCGGGTGTTGCTCTTCGTATGCTGGTCCGTGGACCCCGTGCAGGGGAATGGACTACGGATACGGGACCTGA